AACGGCACCTCGATAGCTGCGGATTGTTTTTGTGCGACCGATCATTCGACAACGGACATCGACGTCTGCAAACTGCCGCAGAAAACGAGTCAACTCTGACATTCGATGCAGCTGAATGAGCCTCAAGAATATTTTCAGATCAGTTGGAGTTTAGACTATCAGATCAGCATTGAACCAGCGGACCAGATCGAGCGCGGGTTTCTTCTTTACAACACATTGACGCAGAGAAGCATATACACGCCGACATCAACTTCGACGATACGACTTCCGAAATTTCCTGCTCTCAAAATTCGGATCTCATCATGTCAGAGATTTCGGCAACAGACACCTAGTTGATAACATCGCCTGGTGGAAACTCTGTTGCCGCATGCAGATCGTCAGATCGTCAACAAATCGATGGTACAAATGGACCGTAAGACTACACGACGGGAGAACGATACTCGGGAGTAAATGTTCGTGCCTGGCGACACATCGTTTGTGTGCTACTCAAAGAGTCGCAGAATCGGTAACATTTCTTCTACAAAGTCAGAATCTTCGTTTGAAGCCAGATCGACACCAATGAAGCACAATTTTGTACTTCACCAAAGAAGCTGATTTCGGTGGTACACCTACAATGCAAGGGAACATCTCCAATGACAAAACGGCCTGCATAAAACTATTATTCTACAACGACATGAAGTTCCACAAATGGGTGTACTACGGATTGCAGAAAGTAATAGTTTTCTCTTGCAAAATTCTCGCCAACACAAGTTGATACGAAGGAGCAGATTTCGCATACAACAAAAGACACTGTTACTACGTCTCATCAGGGACAGCGAGACACTACTTCGTAACAGGAGCTGATCGATTCATCTTCACTACGAATCTCAGCTGTCTGCAATACTTGATTGGAGCAGTTTGACATCAACCTCAAGAGACGACATCCCAATCATGTGACCGCGATTCTAGGTGTTTATGCCATCACACAAAAGCACGAGGGTTGATAGACCGAAGAGTCATGACCTCAAGTCTGGCAATCATTTACACACCTGCGACCCTACGGTATATGTATTGGAGGTGATTCTACCAGAAGCCGAAGCGTTACAAGCCTCAATGTAACTTGAACGACGCAGGAGAACGCCCAGCAACACGATGGTGTTGATCAATGAGGGAGATGCAGATTGCAAAAAAAAATTACGCACTCTACCGACCGTACATCGAGAGCACAAATGAGCATATCAGGCAGTTGCTACTCATGGAGACAACAAGGGGAGAAGCAAGTAATCTTCATACCCTTGAGCGACCCAATTACCGACAGCAATGGAGTGACACGTGTGCATGAAGACACACATGTTCCTTGGTAGTTACAACAGTTATACCCATCAGGAAGACTACACAAGGAGCGAGTGGATTCTTCTTTGAACCGTTACGAGTTACGAGCATCCTCTGCAGCAGCCGCCGCCGCGATTGTCTACCGCCACCGCCGCCGACGCAGCAGACAACTACAGCAACACTCAATCCTGATGGATATTCCTTCAAACCATGGAGATGGCACTGGATCTTATTCTAGCATGATTCCAAAACCCGGCCTGGCACTACATCTATTATTTCCAGCTAGTGGAATGGAGATACCACTATGCCCTGGACCAACGTGACTATGCCACATGCCCTCAGGAGCTCATAGAAAGAGACTCTTATGAGGATGGGAGGATAACGATGATATTTGAGTCCTCATGGCCCCATGACTTCAATTGAGTCGCCAACCCTGCATCACCAACCAATCAACCACCAGCAGCATCTCCATGGAAGCTAATAGGCGTGATCCGGAGCGCCGAGGCCACTATGAATAGAGGAATCTATGTTACTCTAATGGCACCCCTACAAGCAGAACAGGAGCAGATTCAACATCGATGCTTAGTAGCTGAAATGAAATCAACGTTATCGAAGTTGTTATTACAACATCAACAGATAGAAGACACATGATGACCAGTGGATCTAAACCTAAACATGCATCCAAACACCGAGGCCAATTGATGGAATCCGTGCTAAACTGGACATGTATGAGGAATACTAGAGTCGCTGTCATCGTCACCAACAACCGACTGGAAATGGAACAGGAATCAATTGGGTTGAGAGCAGAAATCCCCATATTTCCTCGACCATGGCCATAGATTGATGAGCATGGTGACATCGTCCTACTACAATCACTTGGCAACAAGTCTCTTTGCAACGGCACGCAGCACTTACAGCATGCTATATTGCAGCTAAATTCTACTGCCTGCAACTCAAGCATGGAATTATCACCATTGCTATGTTACACATCCCAATACGTCAACATGGGATACCTGCTACCTACACTCGTACAGGCACAATAGTGTGTGAGATAAAAGTACTGAGGAGCTGCTGTTCAAGAACAACTTTGTTAGCTTGATTTTCTCTAACTACTTGGAGCCTCACAACCCTCAGTATTTGCTGAAAAGCTGGGCGCTTTCAGCGTCTACCCAGTTTTGAGGGGGGGAAGTGTGAGAGGATGAGGCTTGCCGAATACTTGATCACGACCATTTGCCATTTTCTATTTACTGTGTGCTATTTTGTGTGTTTTCCTTTCCTGGAAATCCCTACACTTTTCCCTACAAATTGATATACTTCATAAATATCAATTGTGTTACAGAGTGTTTTGGACTTTCCTTGTGTGACACATTTTCTATTGCATGGACTGTTCCATCACCGTCACCGTATCTCTAGAATCTCTACCGTGCTTCTAGGTGGTGTTCCTACGGACAGTTCCACTCATCTCTAGAACTCTCTTAGAAGGTCCTAGTTACCCTTCCCTAGAGTTCTCGTAGGTATAAATAGCATTGACTCTTTGCTTGTAGACATTCAATTCTTGATTCAATTCTTGATTCAATTCTTGATTCAATTCTTGATTCAATTCTTGATTAGTATCATTCAAGCTTCCGCTAAATCCTGGACCTGTGACAGCGAGGGTGTTGACTTCTTTCACACCTTCGCCACGACCCCTAAGATGACTCCTCTTCGGGCTTTGCTACATGTAGCAGCACAGCTTGACTACGAGCTGCACTCTCTTGACTTCTCGACAGCGTTTCTTCAGGGCAGTCTCCACAAGAAGGTCTACCTCCACGAGAAGGTCCACGAGAAGCTTCACCGGCACCTTCGCCCCGCGGACCTTGTGGCTCCTACAGCGCACGATTTACGGCCTGCGGCAGGCGCCTCGAGAGTGGCACGCCACACTTCGTGCTACGTTAGCTGACCTGCAATTCTTCCCGTCCTCTGCAGATCCTTCTCTCTTCGCTCGTTCAGGCCAGACTTCGTTCTACATCCTTGTCTACGTAGACGACCTAGTCTTTGCCACTGCAGACAGAGATGCACTGGCCTCTGTGAAGGCCGAGCTGCTGAGGAGACACACTAGCACTGACCTAGGAGAGTTGCGCTGCTACCTTGGCCTGCAGATCTCCAGGGACAGAGTAGCGCGCACCATCACTCGCACATAGTCACACTTGGTGCGCTAGGTCCTTTTGAGGTTTGGTATTTTGTTTTCCTCTACACAACCCACACTTCTCCCATCAGATCACACGCTGTCAGCTCCAGTCCCTGAGGAGTCAGTTTGCCTAGTGGTCCGTACGCAGAGCAAGTGAGTTGCCTCACGTACCTGATGACTTGCACTTGTCCAGATCTCACGTACCCTCTCAGCATTTTGGCTCGCTTTGTGGCGAAGGCAGACACCGACCACAGCACTGGTCGGCCGCTAAGAGGGTTTTGCATTATCTTGCTAGTACATGGGCATGGGAAGTGTGCTAGGAGGTCGCAGGCAAGCGGTCCTTACAAGGCACACAAACGCTTCGTGGGCAGACAACGCTCAGACTCTCAGGTCCTCCCAGGGCTACTGTTTTAGCCTTGGTGCAAGTGCCATCTCATGGAGGTCCACCCGCTCGTCGTCTGTTGCCCAGTCCAGCTGTGAGGCTGAGATCTACGCCGGTGCCATGGCGGCACACTCCGTTGGCTGACTTTCTTGCTCATAGACTTAGGTGAGCGGCCTAGCTCTGCCCCGGTCCTGTACGCTGACAACAGGGCGATGATCCTCCTCTGTCAGGAGCCTCGACTAGAGGGCAGAGCGAAGCACATCCAGCTGCAGTACTTCCTCCTGCACGAGCTACAGCAGCGCCAAGGCCCGCGTAGTACACTTGGCCTCCGGTGCAAACACAACTGATATCTTTACGAAGGCGCTTGTGCCTAAAGATCATCAGCGGCACTGTGTACAGCTTGGTCTAGTTCCTGTAGCTTCTCACCTGCTAGGGCCCTGATGTATACTTCCTCTTGTATTATCTTGACAGGCCTTATTCCAGCTTGGCTCTTATTCCAGTGGCTGGACTAGTAGTGACGTCCTGGGTTACTGTTGTTTGGCTTGTACTCTTGCTGACTGGTCTTCGGACCCTAGCCTTAGAGGTTGGACTAGTATTGCCAACCTGAGCTGCGTGTCTCTTGCCCGGCACAGCCCCTCATCTATCCTAGTGGGTGTGTCAAACATATATGTATATGTTTCTATAGGCTAGATAGGTGCGAGCTCTTAGAGAGTACAGCCCCTTAGACAAAACCACCCGGTATCACACGTTCTAGTCAATCTTTCTACTCTGAGAGCTCTACTCTCTCCCATGCATCACAATGGTTTCCTCTACACTGTTTTCAGCAGTCATTAATCTCTGTCTGTACAGCAGCCAGTTGAACTGAAGAGTGTAGAAACTAGAAAGCGGCAGAATGTAGATTGTGTAGATGATGAGATGAGACTCGGCAATTCCAGGAATGCGGCACACACCACACCACAGCACGCATCTTTTCTGCATCAGGGTCCTCTTTTCAAAAATCCCTTGTCTGAGCCATCAGACTCTGTTTCAGTATTTTGTCTGAACTTTTTTTTGCGTTGTCAGATTCTCAGACAGAATGGGAAATTATGTCTGAGAGTTTAAGACAAATTCGAAACGTTTCGACAGATTTGTCTGGAAAAGGCAGCTTGCATTAGAAATTGTAAGTTACATGAAATCATCATCCTCATCATCATCATAGTCAAACAGGGCGGCATCTCGCTGCACCTCGCCCTCCTCTACCTCCTCCTCCTCCCCCTCCTCTCCTCCCCCCTCCTCTCCTCCCCCCCCCCCCCCTCCTCCTCCTCCTCCTCCTCCTCCTCCTCCTCCTCCTCCTCCTCCTCCTCCTCCTCCTCCTCCTCCTCCTCCTCCTCCTCCTCCTCCTCCTCCTCCTTTACAGCCTTCCCCTTCCAATGCCAGATCTCCGCCTCCAGGGCAGCAATCCTCCGCTTTCTCCTTAGGGCCTCTTTCTTCTTCTTGCTCATGGCCACCACTGGTGTTGGCGCCACAACATCCTGGCAAGGGCGCCTCTGCTTGGAGGCGCGCCAAATCTCGACAATCTCCTCCCAATCCATGTCGTACTGCTGGAGGAGGGAGACACACATGAGGTCAGAGAGTTGCACGTCGCACAGGCTACCTCGGGCCCAGCTCTTGATGACGTTCTGTCTGCTAAATCCCCGCTCGCACTCCACCGTGCTGAGCGGCAGCACGGCCGTGACGATCCAGATCTTCACAATGTTCGGGTACGCCATCTCCCAGTCCTTGGTGGCGAGCATGTGGCTAAGGCTGTTGTGAAAGAACATGCCACCGTGGTGCGGTTGCATGATGTTGCAGAAGGAAGAGAGCTCCTGCCTCGCTTTCTTCCAGCTTACTCTTGTGGGGGGGAAACCCGAAATACATAAGAGGCAAATTAGCTGTGGTGAAAGTAAAAAATGCATAGTTATGCAGCAGGGGAAGTATTGCAAGAGTATACAGATGACATAATGCGACCTTACCTGGTAGAGGCTTGTCATGGAACTGCTTCTTGATGGAACCAAGCCACTCCCGGCTCTTGCGCTCGCGGTCCACCTTGCCCACGGGGTAGACGCTGGACAGGAAGAGCTTCGTACCGCCAAGCTGCTGCAGGTTGGAGAGGCGCTGCTCCAGGGACTCCATCGTCGCTTCTGCCATGGCTCGGCAGAGCTCGGTACAGCTTGCCTTGTCGCTCTTGTATACGTGGCCCGAGATCTTCTTCGTGTGCAGGATGTAGACGTGGCGGATCGGCGTGCCGTCCTTAGCTTGGCCTTCGACAATGACCTGACTCTCTGGCGCGTGCTTTGTCAATAAGGCGTGCAGATGCTTGCTGTTGGCCGTGCCGAAGAGCTGGCCGTAGTCAACGTAGTGTGAGCGGATGACTTCGATGGTGACTTGCACCTGGCTGGCCACCCTCGTGATGTCCACCTGCGAAACCAACACCAGGAAGAGCGTCCGTTGAAGTCACATAACAAGTCAAAGGACTTAGACATATTACCTGGCACCGCTGGAACTTCCAATTCAGCCGGTTTAACTCCTTCAGCAGGTCCGCGAGGAAGAAGACGCAGAAGTGGAACTTGTATCCACGTGCCACCTCGTACGTCGTGAAGTCGTACTTGTATAGCAGGAGGATTGCAGCTGGCAGGACAGCGACGAGCCATTCGATGGCCTCGGATCGAGACAGCCAACGAATGGCGAAGATCGATTGCAGCTCTAAGAATGTCTTCAGCAGCACCTCTTGAAGCTCTCGGAAATGGGCATGCCACACGGAGGAGCGTCCGAGGATCTCGGCCAGCATGCGTATGATCTCGTTGATGAAGTCGAAGTCTTTGTACTTCGAGGCCGCATCTTTTGCCGCAAGTGCCTCCCTGGAAAAGAGAGACGATCGGCAAAAATGCCAGTTTACTTGTGGAAAAGAACAAGCAACATTGAAACAAGTGAAAACCGATGCTTACCAGTGGGCGATGCAGTGCCACGAGACAAGATGAGGCAAGATAGCTCGAAGGCGAGTGACAAGGCCAGCACATCCACCTGTCATGACACTGGCTCCATCTGTGGAAATCCCATAAATCTTCTGGAGATCGATGCCTGCTGTTTCGAGATGCGTTTGTAAAATAGCTAGCAGAGAAGCGGCATCACATTGAGTCACCGCTAGTAATGCAAAGAATTCAGTAACGACCTTGCCATTTTTCACAAACGTTAAATAAACTATGAGGTGCTTGCCACGCCGTCGATCCGTGCTTTCATCGACACTGATGCCGATGAAAGGGCTAGCTTGGATGTAATCCATCTGCTTCTTCTTGAGGTAAGTCTCCATTGACCCCGACGATTGGCGGAAGCCGTACCTGCCAAGTTCCCCATGTAATTGTTAGCGCCAGAATGACAATTATTGAGCATGAAACAAATGCACAACACTTACTCGGTGTAGTAGGTGCCGTAGCTACTCTCGGGTCCTGGTGATGCCATGAAATTAACAAGGGCGACGTACAACAGAATCGGTGCGTCGGTGCGACACATGAAAAGCAGAGCCATAAGCAAACAAACTACCCTCTTTCCTTCTAGGTCTCCCTTGCTGAAGTCCTTCGCCTCCTTCTTGCAGACGGCAGCCTAGTGCATCTTCGTGCGCTGGTGCTTCCGCATGGTCTGGACCTGAATATCGATGCCCCCCTGCCCGCCTCGGCCGTACACGCAATCCTCCGTGCGATGAGCAATGCAGATTCTGCATTTGATAGATGACCATCCCTTGTCCATCTATGTCAGCTCAAGCCAGGGGAATTTCTTCACCCATTCCGTCTTGTACTAGTGCTTCAGCTCCTTCTTACGCGCTGAAGTGTCGGCAGCCGGATCTGGTTCGTCTTCATTGCTGGCACCCTCGTCCTTGGCGTCATCTTCTGGGTCCAAGGCGGACGAGGGACCAAGTGCGGCTCGTTCCTGGCAGACAGATGCCCTGGGGACAGATGGCAGGGTGCCCTTCGTGAAAGGGAGGGTAGCCTGCCTGTACTTCCTCTCGAGGGACAAAGTACTACCGGTATCGAACCTCTCGGCTCTTGCCGGCTCGACAGCTGGCGGGGGCGGCGAGGCGGCATGCACCGGCGACTGAGGAGGGGACGGGAGTGGCGCAGGCCACTGATATCCGTCGCTCTCTGGCACAGCGGACTCGGGCTCGGGTGCTGGCTGAGGATCGGCGTGAGACGGAGCGGCGGGAGCACTTGACTGTTCTAATACTACGGCGGGCGACGGAGTGGCTCTACCACCGAAACCTAGCGACCTCTTTAGGTAGTCTAAGCCTGTAAGTTGGGACAGGCTGGAGTCATTGTGCTGACCATCACTCTCTGCCTCAGCTTCCTCGCCAGCCATGCAGGGCTGAAAGCATGAACCAGAGTCGGGAAATAACCGTGGAGCAGAACGAGCTGAAACTGCACTCACTGTGTTGATAAATCAGGAAACAGAAGGTGCAAGAGAAGGTGTGAGAGTACGACCCTGTTACACCACTTGTCCTTTTTCTTATTTCCTTCCTCTTTCATTTCTCTTTTTATCTCATCTCATTTGGTTTCCTATTCTCCCATTTCCATTAACCTTTGGTTTATCCTGCTATTATAGTTATATCACCGACCAGGCTTGGGATGTACTGGTGCGCTATATCTAGCGTAATCCTGCCGTAATCCCTTAAAGCCAATAGCCTCGCGTGGCTATACGCAGAGTGATTCTTTCTAGAAGGGTCTATTCCCTTAGGATAAGATAAACATGGTTACCTGATGTACTATGGAAGTATAAAAGCGCCTTGTACTGATCGATAGTGCAATCTTTCCTCGACACATTCGATCCGGTGACACTGGGTAATCAGGGCTTTTCTCACTCGGCCGCGCTCAACAAAGCAGCAGCAGCGGGAAAACCTGCCTCGAAAAACCGCCGGGGGCGACCAATTCGACGCCGATTCTGGTAAGCACCAGCTCCGCGTTTTTTCGAATCACCCCCCCCCCCCCCCCCCCCGCGCGTGTTTTGAACAGAATGGCAACCTTCGACAACGCCGAGGTTACCCAGCAGCTCTTCGCGCGCATCGCAGCCCTTCGGAAGGAGATGCGAGCGGATCGCGAAGCGTGGCGAAACGAATTCGAGCGAGTAACTCGACTCACCGGAGCGCAGCACGACTCGACAACGGCGACGACGCAGCAGTCGCAGCAGTTTCTCGAGGCTCCGAAACCGCGCCCACCTGAGCCGTTCGATCCGAGCGATCGAAACTCCGACGCCCGTAGATGGATCGCCGGGATGGAGATCTACTTCTTAGCCGTCGGATGGAGCTCGCCAGTCTGGGACGGTCAACGTGTACGACTCGCGGCGACACTGATGTGAGGGCCGGCACTCGAGTGGATTGGCGGCAACAGTACCTTCATCCACGGTGAAGCCACGTGGCAGCAGTTCCGCGCCGACCTGCTGAAACGTTTCGAGCCGATAAATTCGAGTTTCCTTGCCCGGGGAAAAATTCATCGACACTGACAGTTCGGGACTGTAGCGCAGTACACGCAGCAGATGGAGGAATTTTATAACCGCATTCCCGACCTGACCGAAGGGGAAAAAGTACAATCGTACCTCGCCGGGCTGAAGACCGAAGTCAAACGACAAGTGGCAGCGTCAAACTACGCGAGCTACAGTGACGTCGTTTCGGCAGCGGAGCGCTTCGACATGGTCAATGCCGGAACACGACGGACGCACGTCGGCAGTACGCGACAGGGCGACCGCTCGGCTCACCCCACGTTCGCCGACCCGATGGAAGTCGACAGGTTCGAGGGGCGGCCACGTCCGAAAAACACCAACTACACGTGTGATTTTTGCGGGGTGCCGGGTCATCGAATCTTCGACTGCAACAAAATGAAAACCGCACGCGCTGAGTATCGGGCACGCAATAGTGGCGGAACTCCTTCGACCAATCAGAAGACAAAAAACGGGAGTCACCAGTGATTGCGGATCTAGCTGGCAAAAATAAAAAGATCCGGAAGCGGCCGCGGGATTCCGGGAAAATCAACTTCGACGAAGCTGATTCGACGCGAGAAGGAGGAAATGATGGGGGAACATCTCCACCCCACGACCAGTCTTCGCCAGAGAAGACGTCGGTGGAGCTGAAGCAGCTCAAGAGGAAGCTGGGGGTCTATAAGAAGCTGCACAAACCCCGAACTCCTCCTCCGGATGCATCCAGTTCTTCGGCATCAGTGACACGCACAGTCGTCAAGGAAACTCCGGGCCCTGGAGAAGAACCTTTCTCCAAGCAACCTCGGCCAGCTGCCAGCTCAGGAGTAGATAGCAACACAAAGGTGTGTACGGAATATTGGGATGTACCCTATGACCCAATCAATGAAACCATTTTTGGGTACTCCGAGCAACGCGTGCCCCTCGTGCTCGAGGTCATCTGCAAAGGACGACGCCTCCAAGCACTCGTGGACAGTGGAGCATCACACACCGTCTGCGACAAGGCAGTAATCAACTGACTTCGGGAAGAGTACAAGCCTTCAGGATTCTCTCCAACGATGGTGGACGGCAGCAAGTTACCAGTACACGGCGAAGCTGTGCTACACCTACAAATTGGACCACTGCGCTGGAGACCTGCACTCCCCATCACCAACATCAAAGGGCTTGACTTGATCTTCAGGCGAGACTTCCTAAAAAGATTCAACCCCGAGATCAACTGGGTGAACTGCACCGCAAGCATCTACAACAATGGACGGAGAGTACAGCTACCCAACTGGAACGATACAGGAGATATCCCGGTGGAGACACTCGCACAATTTGAGAAGGACGTGAAGCGAACCGACACCGGGTTCGTGGCGATAGCAACAGAGGTGGAGAACGACAGGGAAAAAACCTCGGAACCTCCGGGAAAGATCAAGGAATTATTGAAGGAGTTCCAAGACATTCTTCCGGACGTTCTTCCGAACGAGCTATCGCCATACCGGACGCATCAACACGAGATCGTGGAGGAACCGGGTTCGAAGCCGACCTTCCGAGCACCATATCG